AGCCTCAGAATGGCATTCACACCACAGGCATCACAACAAAGTTCTAAGGCCTTTCTTCATATCCCCTAGAAAAAGAAAAAACAAGAACAAAAATCTTGACGTCCTCTGTGAAGCCAAGTGGCAGCTCTATAGCACTAATAGCTTGTATCCAAATACTGATCTTAACAACTATCATTACCTACTTTTCACAGCTTCAGATACATCAAAGGCATATCTACCTCACGGTCTCTTACCATGTCAGCCTGGAGTCAGACGATACTGTTGAAGGCCATCTTAAATAAGCTGCAGAGTTGCAGCCTGAAATACTGCAAGAGGTTCCAGGCTGTAAGATTCGGGAATTCTGAATGAAGAGACAAATACAGAACTAATGGTTTCTGTTGTGGAAAACACCATGGTCAGGCAGCTTAACTCTTTACAAAGGACTGTTTTCAACTATTTTAGTGCTGAGCATAATCCAGACCATATGGCTTCTTGTTTCCACTCACCTACGTGAAATGAAAACGTATGAGATAACGAGAATTGATCTAAAGCAAACGTCAAGTGTACCCATGCCATTCAATATATGTTCTTCATTAGTTCTAATGTTGACAAGCATTTCATTAAATCCATAGGTTTCAGTACAGGTCAGGCTAATTTTAGCCCAACACCACAGGCAAAGTCCAAGTCTCTATTGAGCGATTTTGCTTTTTAGTGTTTGGTGGTGGTTTTGATTTGGGGTTTTTTGGTTGGTTTTTGTTTTTAACTTGAAGTTAGCACCATTTTTAGTTCAAGTGAAACAGATTGTTATTTCAAGCTTCTTGTTAAATGGCCAAGACCTGTATTGACTTTGGTCATCTTCATTTTGGTCATGCTCAAAACCTTTTTAAAAATACTATAAATGTCTTTCTCATTCAATAATTCACTTTCTGTGGAATAAAAACACCACATCTCAAGTATTTCTGTAGTTCCATACCAGACACATATATTAAATTGGTGACAAAGAAAGGATTTTCAGCAACAAATCTGGAATAAAACAAGTTTTTAGATGGCAACATTGACATTTTTAAGGAATACCATAATTCACTTTTTCAAAATCAAGACCTACCAAAGCTTCTAACCTGGACACAGTCTGCAAAGAGAGAAAAATAATTTAAGAGGTGTTTGTTTGAAAACACAACAATTACTTGCTTACCAATGCTGATATGTGACTGTATAAACAGCATTCTCTATGAGACATTGAGACAACCCAGTGCTGTGAGATCTTTAGACCACAATTTGAATTTCCAATGAGTCCTTGCTGTAGAGAAATCCACTTGCCTCCACATTCTTACTGCCAAGGAGTGTTGTGCAACAAGATAGTTTCCGTAAATATACTGGGATTCTGTAAAAAATTCATCTGAGACATGAGTGTTTTCTGAAATCCCCTAAACCACAACTTATGAACAAAGCAAACAGTTGTGGGAGAGAAACATGCAGGAGCAACGTGCTGTCTCAGCACTAGAGACAAAGCTTTAGAGGATAAGTTATTATTTTTAAATTCTGTTTTCTGCCTTCACTGGCAAATAGCACCTGTTCAGGGAGGTAAGTAAAGACTGGACAAGCACACAGGGATTCTCTGCCAGTTCTCTTTGTATGTCCAGCGATTCATGGTTCAAAGGGATTTTCTAAGCCAGAGATGCTGCCTTTTTATTTAGCAGTCTTTAATGGATTCAAGTACTGGTTCAGTCACTTTCAAGTCGTGTAAACTTTAACATTAATGAGATTTTTTTTGTGTGTCTTTGGGTGTTTTTTTTTTTTTTCGCAGGGGGAAGTGATTGTTAAAGAGGAGTGCCATAGCTCACCTTCACGCCTGTGGAGACCACCTCATTTTGTATGCTTCAAGCCACCACATGCAGATCCCATTTAATAACCTCTAGTTCTGGTATCAGGGGAGACAGTGAACAATCACTCCCTATTCATCCTCTCCCTCTGCCACTTGTGATTTTATGGACTTTTATCATTCCCTCTCAACCATCTGCCTTTCAGTCTATTTAGTTATCCTCATACAGGTGTCGCATGCTATTCATCATTCCTGTCATCCTCCTCTAAAATCTTCCCCAGCTTTACAACATTTGGTCTGAGATGGAATAAAACTGAACTATACACAGTATTAAAGATGCACATACACCATAGATTTATAATTATTTAATGGATTAACAATGCTTTATTTTCTTCTCTATTGCTTTCTAGTTATTCCCAGCATTTTAATTAAAATTTTAACCTCTCTTAAGCTGATGTTTTTAAACATCTATGAAAACCCTAAGATCTTATTTCCAAGTAATAGCCACATATTGGTGGTCCCCAGTAGTTATGTAAAATGACTGGTTTTTTCCCATATCCATTACCTCACATGTCCTGCACCAAATTTCATCTACCATTTTATCATCCAGCCACAATGGGAGGCAAGTCCCTTCCATAATCCTCCAGTCATCTTTACTACTCTGAACTGTATCTGCAAACTGTGCTATATTTCTATGTAGCCCTTTTTCCAAAATGGTCATGGGTATACTGTGAAGCACATGCCTAGGCACAGATCCTTGCAGACTTCATCAGTAATTTTTTTGTGCCATGCAATGTGATGATTTATTCCTGCTTCCTATTTTCTACCCTTTAATCAGTTATTTAACCATCTTTGAACCCTTTCTCTTATCCCACAGCAGCTTGCTTTCTCTAACAGCCTGGAATGAAATCTTGTCAAAAGCCTTCTCTTTCTGAAGGTCATTTCCATATTACTGCCAGTGCTGTACATGTAGCTCAGATCCCGCTTTATAGGCAGCTGAAAATGATTAAAACTTGACCCTTCCTGCTCTCTTGATTCTACTGTAATGCGTTTCATTCAAATTTGACCTGCTACTCCCTTCCTTCCCAGTATTCATTCCCTCTCTTCTTCCCTATTGAGTGATATACACATTTAACTAAACTAAAACAAATGAAAACATTTCTTGATACTATTTGTTTACAGAGTTTCCCAGCTTGTATAAGCTTACAATAGCAAAAGAAATACAGACACATAAAAATTAAGTCTGAAATCTGTTCTGCATTTATTACATGTTAAAAAACAAATCAAATCCCACATACTGTTATGTAATTTCCCATCACCTTCACACTGCAAGCCATATACATTAACAGACAATAAAGTTTCATTAGACCTTTATTGCTAACCTGAAGAAAGTTTTTAAGAGTTCTGCTGCATGCTAAAGATATACTGTGGGTTTTTTTGCTGGTGGGTTTGTTGGTTTTTTTTTTTTTTTTTTAAAAAAAAAGGGGCGGGCCGCGCAACAGGTTTTGTGTTTGAAGATTGAAAGCTGCATATATAAAGCTACAGCCCAACCAAGGATTTCGATATTCAGACAACTAAAGCACTACTGATTTGGAAATGTGATTTTTTTTTTTTTTTTTTTTTTACAGTATACAGGTGAATAGCTCATGCCTAATTACAGATTGAGACAATTTGAAATAGCACAAGTTTAAAATCTTAACGCAGAAAATCAGACTGTCAGAATTTCCAACGAAGCATCCATTCTGGAGCAGACAGGCAGCATTGTAACACAAATACAAACAATAGTACAGATGATTTAATTGGATTACTTCACTCCTATGAATTCTTCCAAACAAGCTCTTTAAGAAAGCCAGGAATAGAATTCAACTTTCATCTTTTCTGGATGTTTTGGCCTATAGCAGTCAGCCATGCTCTCAAAGCATGTTCTCACAGAAGCAGCTATGTATACAAAACAAACCACATTTGGACATGTTTTGATCCAAGAGTGGGTAAGGACAAGCAGAGGTGAGCAGCCAGCTATCCCTCCACACTAACAGTTCCCATAGCAACAGGAGGAATCACGGGAAGCAGCTGGTATTGATCTTCCCATCCCACCTTCACTGCCATTTCTTCAGAGTCCTTATACAATGCTACCACAACCAACAGAGTCTCACATACCCAGGTTCTGAAGTTAATGGGAAATAATAGTGATGAAAAGGCAACAGGGAATAATTACTGCTGTGGTTAGTCTGAGTACACAAAGAACAAGCAGCAGAATTTTGATAACGCAAGCTATGCAAGGGGAAGGGGAGGTATCGGTACATACAGGCATGTTTCACCATGCCTTCCATCTACATTTCTCCGCGCATTCTCCTACAGGGCAGCATCTGCCTGTTCTCAGCATTTGTAACAAGACAGTCAACAAGCCTAGGTCAGGTATTGCAAAGAGTAAGATATAGCAAAGGATATTTTGTGCTTAGTTGAAAGCTTGCTACATCACGTCAGTGGACTGCAGAAAGGCACAGAGACAAAGGAATAAAAGACTACTTACAAATATTAGAGATTTTTTTTTTTCAGGTTAACAATGCCATAGCTCCAGAGTCCCTCAAAGTATACTACCGCACAATTAAGTTCTATAAATATGGGACAATACATTAAATGAGTATATAAGAGATTTCAGTAAAGACTAATATTGTTTCCAGTAACAACACATAGCTCAAAATTGCATTTAGTTTGCAAATTACAGGAAGGTATATTGTTGATACTACCATAAGGCTTAAATAAAAAATATATTTTGAAGGTTTCACCTTCACAATTAACATTTCTTCTTAAGAAATCCACAATGGGAGAGAGAGTGAATTAAGAAAGCCTTTTAAGACCATTCTCAATTGTATTTATAAACACTGAAAAATTACCAGAATAGTTAGCAGAATGTGGCCCTAGGTAAGAGCAGAAGGCTGCTTACATCAGAAAGATAAAATACTATTTTTGTAAACGAGTATGTCACTTCCGCTACATGCACCCTACATTGTCCAAGTTTTATATCAGCATAGTAACACCTCTGTAATCTACTATATTTACATAAAGTTGAAGTAATAAAGCAGTACTATGGGAAGTAGCCAACATCTCCAGAAACTGTAATTCACAAAGTCATTAGCCCCTCAAAAAACCTCAAACAAACATCTAACTAGCTCAGCCTCCAGAAACTGCATCATAGTTTCCCAAGGCAAATACAAAAGACAAATTAAAAGTGCCTATATTAGTACAGATATTCTTAACAAAATTTTAACACTTATACTTAATAAAAATAGATCCTTAAAAAAAAAAAAAAAGCCCTAAACAATACCTACCAATTGTGTACATCAAGATAACAACTCCACCATAATCCAAACAAATTATAACAGTATGTGATATTTAAGAGCTCTGGGAACCCTGTTAATAACAAGTCTCCCGTCATAACTTAAAGAGGCAAAGAGCCATGGGTCTGCTGAGGACCATTCAACTGCATATACACTATCTTCGTGTTCTTCATAGGTAGCTATTACACTGTCCTGAAGGGGCTCTTTAATCCTAAAATTGAAAACAAAAAAAAAAAAAAAAAGAAAAGAGTAAGGATTTGTGAACACGCTTGACTTAAAAGACAACATTAAGTGCCACTAACATGTAGATATACGTAACCTCCCATTTAAAGTATAAGAATGCAGTAATAGGCTCTAAGGAAGTATTTTATACCAGATGTCCACACATACCTATGTTTTAGATAACACAGCAGAGTCAAGTCAATGTTAAAGACCCCATTTGCAGGGACAAAGCACCTCTCATTCTCAACTTCAGTGCATTTCCAAGTCTCTCAGAACCTACACTAAGCATCTCTCTCTAAAGCAAGTTAAACTACCAGATATGATCTAAATGTACTTAAACACACATTTTTATCAACACCTTTTCTCTCACCATGCTCTATCCCTTCCTTTCACTCTTTGTCGTTAATTGAATTCTTAAGATCACATATGATGTTACTACAGACGTGTAGATCGGTAAGAAATTGCAGTCCTTAACATCACAGTCACTCCTGTGCCGGACCCATTCTCTCCAGAGCAATGGAAGGGAGATGGAGGCACCACTTTGAACACTTTAATTTTTACCTCCCATCCCTAGAGTTATACCACCACCAGATTCTCATCTGTTATTGTATACCTCACCTCTCACTGCAACACCCAAGCGCCTGGTGACCTACATCATGAGAGTCAGACTGATTCTCTTCTGCATTCCAAATATTTAAGAACAGATTCAGGCAATCCTCTGAAGTCCAAACCACCCAAGAATCATTGATTGTGCTCTTCGAGCTGAGAACAGCCCTTCCTCCCTCACATAGCCAGTCCCTCCTCTCAGAGCAACACCACAGCACATTATTTTGTAGCTACAGGGTAGGTGAGTTTTCAGAGAATGACCTTAGAGCTCCTTCACCCACAGAGGATCAACCTCTGTCTGACAGGAATCAGTCAGCCTTTCAGAAGCATCCCCCTGCCTCCCAGAAACAGCCTTGTATTATAGCCACAATCCTCCCAACAGAAAGCGAAGCCAAAGAGCCTTGTGAATGCCACTCAATCATTTAAACAGATGCTGCTACTACAGAAATGAAGTGTTGTTATTGGCTGTCTTTGCCCTTTACCGCCGCTCTCAGAAAGCACGCATCTACAGTCACAAAGCATATATGGTATCGCGTCTGAATTGCTTGCAGGATATCGCTGCTCCACCTAGCCAGTCTAACCAGCTGTGAATCTAACATCGCAATTAAAATTCAACTGAATTTAATGAATAAACCAAAAGCAGTATGATACTGCAGAATAGCTTCAGATATTCAGTTTCAAGGACTTTTATCATTTACTTACACTACGTTTAAGGTCAACTAACAAAAAAAGGTCACGGCACAAACAACATGAAGGCCCTGGTTAATTGCAAAGAGCAGGTTGTTTTGCAGTTCTCCCTAATACGTACTTTGATATAAACCATCTAACAGCAGAGACCTAATAAACACACACACATGCACAGACATTTCATCTCCTGCAATGTGTTCTTCTAACCTGCTGTTAACTGACATGCCTGGTTAAGTGAAAGTTGGTCACGTCCCCAGGCAGCAATGTGCTTCACGCAATGCTCACCCACTTACCCACAACTCCATTATTCTGAAGGTTTCAGATGTCTCTCTGGATAAGCAGGGGAGTAATGCACAGTGCACATGGCTGTCAGGGGACACGACCGACTTTCAGTTAACCAGGAGTCTCAGTTAACCAAAGGTTGGATAAACACGGACAAATAAGTTTCTAGATTATACTATTTTCTGTACCCTCAGAGTTGTTTCAGTGTTTCATTTAAATAACACAGTTCATCTAATTTAATTTACAGAAGTCATAGGGGAATGAGTGTTCAGGAAAGAAGCCTGTAGATGAACTTCTTTTTGGCATTTCCATTTGTAACTACAATTTTAAACTGTCTTTTATTATTGTCTGCACACTGCATTTCTTCTTGGGTATGAAAGTAATTTTGTGCTTTCCCATAAAAAGAAAGCATGCTATTCCACACAGTCCTTCAGGTCACATGAATTCAGTTTCGGGGGGGTTGTTTTTGTTGTTTTTTTTCAATAGCATACATCTATGATGATATTATATATAGACTACTTGTGCATAAGAATGGCATAGCCTTGAGACAGTTATTGAGAATCTAAGAAAATCCTTATGGAAGTGATAAAGAGCTAGATACTATACAATAATAATCAGGATGGAAAAAAATCATCTCAGACACGGAACAGGAATGACATGTCTCAGGAACAATACAGAAGATCCAGAAGAAACCATCCATGAGCATCCTTTACAAGCACTGTGAAAGATAACAGATTAGCCTTTAACTCCTGTAACAGGTAATGAGCCCACAAAGATTCTGCTAGTGGAATAAAGACAGAATTTATTTAATGTATGTGAAAGTCTGCTCAAAATGATTTAAAAAATAGAAGGAGCAAGGTTGTTTGTGGTGAGGTTTTTTCTTCACAACAGGAATCTCTTGGAGACAGACCACCTTACCCCATGCTAAGAGACTTCCAATAAGACACCTTAGATTTGTCTACATTTTCGCTATGTGCGTGGGTTTTTTTGTAATCCAAGAATAGGCTGAGGATACTAGTTTTGAATCTATATGAATCTAGGAGACTTAGAATTCTTCAGTTACTGAGCCCCACAACTATTTACTGTCAGTAAAATTTTAAACAGCTTTTACACTTTTATTTATTTAAGAATCAGCTCAGACTCATCTAACTTCCCAGATATTGAATATAATTTGGTTAATGCAAGAAGTTATAGACTTAACAGCTAGGACACTGGCATTTATTTAAGCAAGGTAACAAATACCTTTCAAATACATATATATATATGTGTGTATATAAACACAGAGGCTATGAAAAGAGATTATTTTGGTCACAGCACATACTAGTGGAACACATACAAAAACAACCTGTATTTATCTTAAGATTTTTTTTTCTATTTAGATATTTTAATTATCCTTCTCTTTTTATCAGTTGCTACTATTTCTTAATGTACAGCAGGTAATTGCAGAGCCTAACATGTCATAGTATTGATGAGTGTATTCTTCTAATACTCTATTCATAATGTAGCAATGATTAAGACAATACTGCTATACTTTCATGTGCATTATTCTTATCTCGGAAACTTTCCATTTCATAGTTACCAACTCCCGATGACAATGCCCAGGTTATTCACCTTCTTCGGTGAGATGCCGGACACAGAAGAGGAGAGCGTTCAAATTGGACTGGATACTGGGCCAGTCAGATCTTTGGCAGGTTTTGGAACAGGAAAGACAGTTCAGGATCTTAAATTTCTTCCAGTTAAAGAAGTTCAGAAACAGCAAGAGCACCTGTACAGAGGTGGATATGAAGTAAACCACCTTCTATGCTACTACATAAATGTATAATTCAGGTTGTTCCCAAAACACAGAGATTTCTGCTTTCACATAAAAGCTGCAGGTTATGGGTGTGAAAACGTAGTTGCTATGCTATAGCTAGTTTAGTGCACCACAGGTGCAGGTGCTTGGCCTATTGATCCCTTGATAGAGCAGCCTGACTAGACTACATCTGACAAGCATACTAGGTAACCTCTTGTTATGCCTGGCAACTTAGTAAGCTATTCTTTGTCCTAAATCTCCTTACCCCTTAAAAAGTGCCTTTAGTTTCTTGTTTTCCTGTACTATTTTGAAGAACTTTTCCTGCCAGACTAAAATAACTTTTTCTTTCCTTAGATACGTTCTTGCATTGCATCAACTGACAAGGCATCAAAATCTTATGCCATCAAGAACTCATAGTAAGAAATGTGTAATCTCTACCTGCATGAATCTAAGACCTGTGCCACACAGAGCTAAAGCTGGACTGCTTTCTCTTTGTAGTCTTATTCACATAGCATGACCCTACCAGCTTCTCCTATGAAAGGAGAAGAGCTTTCATTTTACTAGATAACTTTGAGGTTAATTGTGTTACAGACTTGAGAGAGAAGCCTGTTAAGCCTTGGATAATTGTTTTCATGTAGAGAGCTGTTATTTCCAATTACTTCTCATGCTAACAACCACTTAAGCTTGCAGTGCTTGCGATTCTGTTTTGTCACCACAATGTTCAATAAAACATGTTTTTCAGAGTCACCAAAAATCATTAATTCCTTATCACAGTCAAAATTAAATCCTCTTTAATCTAAAAATTACTATGAAATAGATGTGACTCAACAGAGCAGCAACATGTACTTCAGCGTTCAAACTGAATCCCAAAAAGCCTGCCACTGAATTCCAGAATAAGCCCCGTGGATGCCATTTCCCTTTACCTGCAGGAGAAAACTTATCAACTGTAAGGTTTTGTTTCTGGTAAGCTTGGACAACACACTACTTCCTTTTTCACTCTCTTAAGGAAAACAGAATTCAAGGATGTTTAAACTGGAACACAATTTTTATATATAATAATTGGCCATTCATACTATTGTAAGCACTACCTTTTATTTTTTACTGCTTATACAGGAAAATGACATCTTTAAAACCAGAAAATGTGTATTTTAATATAACAAGATTCACAGTTGTCCTAACATGCAAAATAAATTAAGGAGGGTATGTCTGCTGATGAGGGTTAAAGAAAGAAATAGCATGGAAAAACCAAACCTTTTCAAAACAAAGTAGTCTAGGAATTGGAAAGTGCTGCTCCACTAGCTTTGTCCCAGCTTCTTACACATCCAACCAAGTAAAGCCCTGAATACTGGCATTCTCCAAAACAGAAACTATTTAAGCGATTTTAATTGAGTCTCTTGGTTGATTCCATAGCATAATCCCATGACTTCTAGATTTCTCCAAGACATAAATACCACGAGCAAAGTATCATCAAAATTAACACTATCGGAAGCTGTGTGAAAACACCCTGCAAGCCTGCCTTATATCATGAATGTTTGGCAAATACTTTAACAATGTATCAGTGCTGACAAGTCACTCTCCCCAAGTCACAGATTTGTGTACAAAGGTGTTCATGTTGGATCACA